CAATGACGCAGAAGATGAAAGTGGTATCGTGGCAACAACCCGTCAACAAGTTAATAGTGAGGTAGAAAAATAATCTACGTGTTTACAGTACGAAATTATTAATATATATTTGGAACCAGACTAATTTTAATTTATTCTAGGACACACCGACTCCAACAGCTTCCATCATTCAACCTCCAACAGAAGCATCTACTCCTCAACCATCCGAAACGGAACCAGATTCAAGCTTTTCAAGACCACCATTTGCAAAGGCAACATCACTACTTCGTCAAGCCTCGCTCACATCAGCAGTATCTACACCAGGAGAGAATTTGAATAGCAATAATAATAATACACCGCATGAAATAGAATCATCAGTGGCAAATAGCCCCGAGATAGAAGAGGAAGAAGAAGGAATGGGAGAGATCGAGATCACTAGCTCTAAAACAATTATAACGAAAAATGAAAATTTGAAATTTAGTAATGAAGTCAAAAAAGTTGGGGAAAGAATAGAGATGGAAGATTTATACGATCAACAAACTGATGGGTTTGGAGAAAATAAAAAACCTATTGATATTGAATTCGAACGACAACCTCTTAAGGGCCCGGAATATGAAGGAGAGAATAACGAAGAATTTCGAACAGAAGAAGAAGATGCAGAGGAAGACTATGACGAACCTATTGAAGAATATGATGAACAACCAGAAGACTATGGCGAGCGAACAGATGGATATGAGAGACAGATTAATGAATACCCTGATACTGTTGAAGAATACGGAGAACAAAACAGTGATTATGAAGGACCTAGTAGTGATTATGGTGGACCATCCACCGAATACACAGGCAGAACCAATCAATACAAAGTGCAGGAACACAATGATGATTATGAAGAAGTGTTAAGCGATTATGATGAACAGAGCAGTGAATATGATGAGCAAGCAAGCGAATATGAGGAACAAGCCAGTGAATTTATGGAACAAACAGAAGAACAAACAGAACACATAACATATCAGGGACAGGTAACCAGACAACTTGACAAAAAACTAGTACAAATTATAAATATACTGTAATAATAGAAGATACAAAAAACAATAATAAAAAGCTCTAATTAGTATTTCAAAATATAGTATGAAAAAAGCTTTTGATTTAATATTGTGATAGCTAAAGCTAAAATTAACTAAAGCTAAAATTAAAAATCTCTATTTAAATTTATAATATCTACTAAAATTTACTTGTTTCTTTATTAATAAAACTACTCTAAACTCTAATCTAATTATAAAAAAAAGCTAAAAAGATTCAAAAAATTTTTAAAATTTAATATTAAAAGATTTCAAAACTTTAACTTTAGCTAATCTTAGCTTTAGCTGTATAAAAAAAAATTTACTATATTTTTATAAAATTATAAGATACTAATTACTATAAAAATTTTAATACAGTTAGACCTCTCTATAGTCACATTTGCTTATAATCATATAAAATTTTAAAACCAACTTATATAGCACTTATAAAATTTAACCTCTATATAAGCACAAACTCTCTATAAGCACAAACTCTCTATAAGCACTAAATTCTTGAAACCAAGGATGTGATTATAGAGAGGTTTGACTGTATATTTTTTCAATTTAAAAAGTTAAAGGTAAATATTTATAATTTTGGCTATATATTAAAATAAAGTATTACCAATTTAATATATAATATCTTATATAAAAAAAAATAAGTAAACTAATAAGATCAAAAAAGTACATAAAAAAACAAAATTACTATTAAACAAAAATAACCAAAAAAAAAACTAAGAAAAAACATCAATAAAAAAACCCCGTTACTTTTAAAAATAATTTTTATCTAAACAAGGTAAATCCTTATACAATCAAAATTAGCCCTGTCGTTTAGACCACTCTAACTTGGTTGAATAATTAAAAGTTATTGCGATCGATTAATTATTTGAAATTAACTATTGTAGTGCAATTCAAAAACAAGATTATATTTTTTATTCAATTAACCAAAATGTAACATGTTAGAAGCAACAGTAACTTGAACCGTTAGTTAGCGATCTTTGATAGCAGCAGATCAATTCGAGTTTTCATTAAAGGTTGTCCCTTTGAATTACGTTTCAAAAATTTTTTCTTTGTTATTTTTCGTTGAGCAAGATAGGTCTTTTGTTTCTGAATTCGCATTTCTTTTTCTTGTTTCATGGCCTTAATAATGATAATGGAAATTATTATTTTCTCTATAAGATAATTTAACAAAATAATACATACCTCAATTTTAGTCTGCTTTTCACGTTGAAAATGTTCTCTTTCTTTCAGAGCCTTATAGAATGGATTGGGCTTAGATCTATAAGTTTGATTAAAATGATTAAAATGATAATCTGTAAATTATTTCGTATACGATATT